CCCCCCCTATCGGCGGGCGTGCCCACAGGTCTCTGTCGTGTTGACTTTCCTCTCTGATGATGCTGTGGCGGCGGCACGCGCAGCGGCAGCAGCAGCAGCCTGTGCGTGAGCCGAAGTGACGCACAGCAGCGGCAGAGATGATCCGCACCGCTGCCTCCGAGCGTCTCCGCGCCGTGGACTCCTGTGGTCTGCAGTGGTAGCGGCAAATACCGAACGGGGCTTAAAAATGACAGGATTCCTTCACTGTTTCGAAGCGCATTCCGCCGCATCTTGTGGTTCTCAGTGAGGAAGCGTCGTCGGGAAACCGTCCTGGACATGGACGGCGGGACTGCGGAAACGGGGGATGACGGGAGCGAGGCAGCGGCCGCCGGCCTCTGTCTGCAGCTTGACTTCGGGGACACCGGTTCGTATGATTTTCACTTTAAAAAAAAAAAAAAAAAAAAACAAACAAAGATATATTTTTTAGTGGGTTTATCTAAACCCATCTGCCGGTGACAGGAGGTGTAAGTGAGCAGAGGAAGTTGGACATGAGTGGGCAGCATCCTACCCTGCAATTACACTGTGTGTGTAAAAGCAGCAGACTTTAAAGGTTACATGACATTTATTTTTCCACTAAGACACGGAAAAATAGGCTGGTTAAGAAGGACAAAGCTGTGGCAATGAATAATAAATGCCTTGGTTAGATAACAGTGTCAAGATTCCAGTCAGCTGTAAGTGTCAGTAGCTCACTGCAGTTTGGCACAAATACAAGGTCCCCATTAGAGATGTGTGCTCACAGTCCCTCTAGACCTACTACACAAGAGCTGGGATCATTATTATGATGGTTATTTATCCCAAGCTGTTTATGTACATGCAGGATTTACAGTCAGTTTTTGCATGACAATAAGGGCTGCTGAGCATCTCCTTGTAAACAACCTGCTCTCTCAGGTGTCATTTTGTTTTTCTTCTCTGCTCCTCTGTGTCGTCATAATTCTTCCCATCTCTCTTGTCCTCTTCCCGGCTAAATCTGAAGAGTGCCTTATGTAATCTGATGTGGAATTATAACATAAATCACACACTAATCCCTTGTATCAATTCCAAGCACCGCTGTGGATGTCATGGCCGCAGATATCATGTGGCGTGCATGGCAGGTTGATGCTGTTAACGCGGAAATGTTACAGTGAAGAAAGCAGATGTGATCCACGTCAGTTTAGCGTTTCCGCCAAGTTATCTTTGCATGTGCGTGCTCGTACGCGCCCGGTTACAGTAGATGTTTGTGCACGGATGATTGTTATTAAGTCTACCAGATTATACTTGTAGGCAGAAAGCCTCTGGGCATCAAAATCTACTCCTGTGTTTAGTGTCACATTAATGTCACAGCAACAGGCCGCCATTTTCTCAGCTGATAAAGGAAAGATCTAATCCTCTTTGCTATAACACACATGCACAGGCCTCAAGGCGTATTTCTCTTAACACTGACACAAATTTCATTATAAGATGTGAGCCTTTCAGCGAGTGTATGTTTCCTTAGTGTTCTGACACTGAACACAAAATAAATTGCCTTACAGGTAGCCCGTATCCCACATACTAATCACAAACGACACGATGAGTTTGTCCTGTTTGTTGCTTGCAGCTCAATGACACATTATTCTGGCCTGACCTTAATCCCACAGAGACTCTGTGTGTGTGTGTCTGCCTGTCCCAGGATGCTCCTGTCTATTGTTCTGCCTGACAGGCTTTGTTGCAGTATTAATCTGCCGGTTGCAGGTGTGGGCAGCCTGCCGAGAGACATGGCATTTAGTTCTGTCACTTCTAAAAAGGACCCACAAAGATACACAAACTAAGAAATCTGTGAAATTATATAGCTCCACTTTTGTTTGTGTAATTGCATGTAGTATTTTGTTGTCCTGTTTTTCATTTACTTATCTTTGCACACTTTCTGCAGCAATCCCTTTTTTCTAAAACGTTTTTCCATGCACGAAAACATTCTTCAGCATTTTCTCATCTTTGTTTTTTCGGGACGGCGAACAGTATCCATCTGTTTGTCAGTCAGTCCACCACTTCGGTCACAACTAGAGCTGCAGAAGATATCGTTTCAGCGTCAGCATCACAATGTTTGCATGTGCAATAGTTGCATTGCAAGAAGGGCAGTGTGAAGTACGACAAGTCAAACGCATCATGTCACAACTTTTTTTGCTTCTTGATGCTAAAAGAAAACTGTTCTCATTTCTATCTCCACATTTCAAGAGAAGCCTGTCTTATAGAAAGTTTGATTTAAGGGTTCTTGCAAACACTGAGATTTTATTTATAACTTTATTTACACAGCTTTGAGTGTGTTGACATGCAGGATCCACACGTGCAGCAAAATGAGCGAAGAACAGGAGGGAAAGACTAAAAAGGAAGCCTGCAAAAAGAAATTCAATGGCAGCTGTATGGAAATGCTGGAGGAAAAAAAAAAACAGGCAGTCTGTCAACAGTATCTTGCAATTGTTGCCAGCACATGAAGCAACAGAATTAATTATTTTTGATGATCTAAATCAGCACCATGATGAGATCTGAAGCCCATCCAAAGCATAGAACTGTTTTGAATGTCTTTGCCAGTATTACACCATATGAGAAATGGCCTTTTTCAGCTTTATTAAAATGATTTTTTATTTTTGATAGCATAGATCAAGTCATCTGGTGAAAATGCCTGCATTGTCTTTATATCGCAGTATATATATCACAGAAAAACCACTAATTACACTGTCAGTTTTTGCTGTTATTGTGTCGTTCTCGTCCTAATTAAAACATCTGACCTCATATTGAATGAACGGTCAGTAAATGTTGTGGTGCATATGTGGGGCCCAGAGGATGAAACTGTGGTGATCGCTTAACTTATTCTGCGTTGCCATCATGAGGTTCACATTTGTGGTTTTAAATGAAACGTGTCAGCAACTTCTAGATTGCCATGTGAGATGATGCATACATTTTTTGTCCTCTACGTGATGAGCTGAAAGCACTGTGGTGAGCCATTCATCCTTTAGCTGTCCCTGCTTTATCCTGTGGAGGGTCACGACACGGCTGGAGGCTGGAGTCTATCCTGGCTGACAGGGATCAAGGTGCAGAGTACACCCTGGACAGGTCGCGAGTATGTCGCAGGGCTAGCACAGAGAGAACTCACACCGATGTCTACTTTGGAATCACCAATTAACCTACCATGCCATCTGTTATCTTTAGAGGGAGCTGGAGGACTCAGAGAAACTCCACGCATGCACAGAGAGAAAATACAAACTCTCGACACCAGCGGGTTTGAACCTCCTTGTTGTGAGGTGCTAAACAGTGCGACACCATGCCGCCCACTGCGATGAATCTGAATTTTAACATAGAACCATCACCAGACCTAAATTTAAATTTGCTCCATATTTTGGTTTATGACCAAACAACTCCCGTAATTTCCGGTTTCCACTAACTTCAGAAATGAAATATCTTTTGTACATATATAGGCGGGCTGCATGGTAACACTGTTGCCTCGCAGCAAGAAGGTTGCCGGTTCGTGTCCCGATGGGGGCACTGGGATCTTTCTTTCCCTGTGCAGCGTGGGTTCTCTCCGGGTTCTCTGGCTTCCTCCCACACAGTCCAAAAACATGTTGAGGTTAATTGGTGATTCTAAATTGTCCATAGGTGTGAATGTGAGTGTGGTTGGTTGTCTGTCTCTAAATGTAGCCCTGTGATAGACTGGTGACCTGTCCAGGTGTCCCCTGCCTTCACCCTGAGTCAGCTGGGACAGACTCCAGCCCCCCCGCGACCCTAATGAGGATTAAGCGGTGTATAGATAATGGATGGATGGACATATATAGGCCACAGTTGTCTATAAGCTGCAGGTGTCCACGTTGTAACATGAGATATTTTCACAGAAAGATTTTTTTAACTTTTAGTTAATACGTACCGGTAACATACACAAATATGTACCGTAAATACTTTTTTCCGTGCCTGTAACACGGCTGGTTACGAAAATACAAAATACAGTAGACTACCAGGAAAAGTCATTGATCTCCATCTTCCTCCTGCAAACTAAAACCACTAAAGTCGTCTTCTTCAGTGTCGGAATTGAACAGCCTAAGAATTATTTTGTCACACACTTTCTCAGTCTCTCTTTCGTCGTCACTCTCGATGTCACTTTCGTCTTAAGGCAAATTTGTAAAAATCGTAAAAATCCATAAATTAGCTGCATCATTGTTTCAGCCGCAGTGCTTAAAGTGTGTGAAAAGTAGCGGCTTATAGTCCAGAATTAATGGTAATTAAATTAAACTGAGCTTTGTATTTAGTGTTTATTTGCAAATGCATGTATGCAAACATGCTACACTAAGATGGTTAACAGGGTCAACATCATTCCACATAGGAGCATGTCTGAAAGCTGATGTCAGCTCAAAGCATTGCTGCTCTGACCTAGTAGTCAGTGTAGTCTCTGAATAATGTAGTTGCCTTTGTAAAGCAGTCAGATACTCAGACTGGGTGTACACTTCTATAGGATACATGGCCCAAGAGTACTATACTAAGTTACTGTTATCCAGATCAAATATGCTGCGTGCTAGTCTGTATTTTTGTCATTTATCTTGTCATTTTTGCTTTTACTGACCCATCACAGAAGTCGTTATCTTGTTGTATATGAACTGTTGTTGTGTCCTGTAATGCCGTAGCGGCGGCAACATCTGCTACAGTGTGTGCCGAGTACTTTAACATGGCTTAAAGATTCATTATCCCAGCTCTGTCAGCAGCGCATTCCTAATCTTCATCCTCATACAAACTGAAAGTTAGCATGATGATGATGTAAACCAAGTAGTTTGTGGTGCTGTGAAGTTCTGTGAACTGTCTCGTTTCTCGTTCGCTTCCTTCCTGCTCCCTCATCCTCTTAAACAGACGCAGTCCAGTTGTGTCCTCTATGTCTGTTGGAAAGACTCTCCTTAATCCTTGCGAGTGATTGGTCGGTCTTGTGATCCGTAGACCTCTGCCAATGACAGCACTCAGATTAGAGAGGAAGTCAATCCAATAGAGTTTTTACGTTCTCTGCACAAATCTCGCTGATCCAGGAATAGAAAACACTGGCTGCACTTTGCAGTCGTCTGACCGCTGAAAGTCAATTTGGTTTGGTCAGTTTTGTTGAATGTCTTTTTTTCTCTTGGGATTATCAAAGAATTGGTAACCTGTAGGGACTGAACTCTTCTGCTGGTGAGTTAACCGCAAAATGATTTGGAACAAGGTTAAGGGAAGCTGGTGAATTATATTTTAGATGCATTAGGCGCAATAAATGCATTATGCATTTTCCCTTTAAAAAAAAACAAAAAAACAGGAAAATGAAAATGTCTCGATTAAAGTTTGAATCGGTTTTGTTGTAGTGTCATGTATCATTTATGGTCTGTTTACAGTGCCACCCCTGGACGTTTTCCCAGTTTGTTGCTTTTCAACAGTGAATCATGGTCAGTATAATCTGACTCTATTGACAAGAATTTATTTAAAAAACAAACATTTTTTTTAAGTCTTTAGCTGAGATTTCACATGAGCTTTTTTTCAACAATGGCTTTCTATTTGCCACTCGGCCACAAAGTTTTGACTGGTGGAGAAAAGGCAAGAGCTGTTGTATGCACAGTCACAACTCCTTCAGAGGAGCCATAGATGTCTCATGTTTCTGCCTTCTTTTTTTGCTCTACGGATTTATGCATGTGCCATATTCCTTGCAGTTCTTATTGGTGGATTTAAATGTACTCCAAGTGATATTCAGTGACTTGAAAATGTTCTTATATCCATCTTCTGACTTAACCGTTTTATTGAACTTTTCACTGAGTTCCTTCAAATGCGTCCTCTTGGTGTAGTTATAGTCCGAAATACTGATTCACTGGTGACTGGACCTTCCAGATACAGGTGTCTTTATACTACAATCGAAGATACATTCACTGCCCTCAGATGATCTCTGTTTCAGTAACTACTAACACCAATTGGCTGCACCTGTGTTGAAGTAGGCGAGTTGCTGCAAAGGGGATGAATACCATCACTTATTTTACATTTTAAATTTGGTTTTAATTGAAACTGCTTTGTAGAAATCTGTTTGCACTTTGACATGAAGGAGTCTTTTTCTGTAAATTCTTGTCAAATAAATTGAACGTGATTTAATGTTGAAAGCAATAAAAATGGAAAGCTTCCTGGGATGGGTAAATACTTATTATATGCGCTGGAGCTACATTTAGCGTTCAGCAAGAACCACAGTTGCATGAGGGCGAAAGCAGGACATCTGCATTGAATGCCAAGTCTAGCATACCCTGCTAAACCACTAACTCTTGCTAAATAATGTACCAATGTATTCATTTCTTAACCTGTTTCTCCTGCACATTCTCTCTTTGTCTCTGTCTGCAGATTCAGCCAAGAAGGTTCAGATAACAGAGGTGAGAGGCTACTTCACACTTTACACCCGTCCGTCTGCCTCTGTGACTTCTCATTCCCTTCTTTTGTCTGTATGGGTTTGCTGCATGGTTCACTTTAACTTAACCTCGGATGGGACAATAAATAAAACATGCAGTACCTACACCGCACATGCATTTACTTGTCCCTTTTCTTTCCTTGTGGCAGATGCCGTCCCCATTTGGAGCGGGCCAAGCTCATGAGAAGAAGATTGGCCACAGGAGGGTCGATGCCTCCGGAGAAACAACATATAAGAAAGTGGGCTTTTCTTCCCTGTCTTTGTCTTTTGTTTCAAATACTTTTTCTGGGTTTGCTGGGTACGATTTCACGCACTGTTTTCCACCCACACCTCACTCTGTTATTCGTCTCTTTGTTCTCCGCCTCCAGACCACCTCCTCTGCCTTGAAAGGGGCTATCCAGTTGGGTATTGGATACACTGTTGGCAATCTCAGCTCCAAGCCTGAGAGAGATGTCCTCATGCAGGACTTCTACGTGGTTGAAAGCATCTTCTTCCCCAGGTGTGTTTGCATGGGTAGATGTGCTCGTGTCTACGAAATATTCAATGTAATCTTTCATCTTCCTTTACTCACCCTGGTTGTCTTACGTTTACTCAATGCAGCGAAGGCAGTAACCTCACACCAGCCCACCACTACCCAGACTTCAGGTTTAAAACCTACGCCCCTGTGGCCTTCCGCTACTTCAGAGAGCTGTTTGGGATCCGACCAGATGACTACCTGGTGAGATGCTTATTTTCTGATGATCTGTTATGTGTTTGATGTTGGCCCTTTGGGTTTGCATCAGCACTAAAGAAGAGTTTTCCACTTTATGTGTTGCTTTCTGCCTCTTGTTTTGGAGGATTGTCTTGTAATATGCTGGGCTCCCTGTAGTTTGGTTGCAATGATATGAAACTGGCCAAGACCTCCTATTTAATAACATTCAGCTACAATTATTATTCATATAGTAAGACTACAGTCAATTGGTGGCAGTAGATGTGCATATTGTTCCAATCAGTTATCTGAAATTAGCCGTTTGAAAGCATTTTTTATTCATTTTTCTTCCCTTTTACGATGTTAAAATTACTTGTCATTTCATTCACCTGTAAAACTATGCAAAAAATATACTTATGTTGACAAAAATAAATAAATCAACATGTAATATTTAAGTGTTTTACATTACAAATGTATATTAGGTATTGAAAAATTGAGATTGAAGAAAAAACTTGATGACAACAAGACCAACAAAATCAGAGATCTGAAAAAACGTTTGGCTTTGTGTAATTGAATTAGATAATAATTCATGCTGTATGATGCACCATAACGTAAACTAAATATAAACGCGTGTGAAGTTCTCTCTGCAAGCATTCGTCTGACATCAATGGAGTTATCAAAAGAAAAACACGCTCAGATCTCTGCTGCTCAGTGGATGATCATTAAGCAGCCATACAGATAAAAGGAAAATTGCACAAGCGAGCACACAATGGCACGCTGCTGCACACGCCTTTACATATTGTGCATGTCAGGGTTCACACACACACACCCACATGTGCAGCGTACTGAGCAATACACTTAAGCTCACGTTCTACCTGTGCCAGAGGGAGATTAGGAGACTAAAGCTTTCTTTTTTAAATTCCACGTAGTTGCAGCAGACAGCCAGAGTAGTTTGTGTTTGTGTGTTTGGGCTGCTGGGGGAGGAGTGGAGTATTAGCAAATTGCATTTTGTTCACTAAGCCACTGAAAATTGAATTACTTGGTCGGACAATTTAAGTACAAGCAATGGGCACTTCATCTTATTTTTCAGCTGAAGCCTCTAATTATGTGCAGAATCCTTGTAGCTTCATGTCACTAGTAGATATTGAGTCCACTGATGCTAATGGAGTGTTTGATACAGTTTAATGTGGTTAGCTTTAGTTAAACTTAATTCCTGCTAGTTACCACAGGGTGCAGTAATAACAATATGTGAGTGAATGTAACATTTGCACAGTTATGGTATTAACTTCATTGGAATTACTCCAATAGGGTGTAAAAGTCAGCAGACTACCCACACTTCTGCTTCTAAACGAGGCTTCGTTTTGGTGCTGATGAGCGATGACATGTGAGTGGGTGGATGTATTAGTCTGTAGCCGTGTACCGAAAAAGTGATAAATCTGGGATGAGTGCAGGCATGTGTGAAACAAACATCTAACATGACATGAAATTACACAAATTATCAGATTGTTCTTTCAAAATGTGCAACACGAGCATAAAAAAAAATGAGTCAGTCGGATCCAGCTGTTAAATGTCGAAACAATTTTTTCAGATTGTGCATCAGATTGAGGCGAGGTATCAGGTTAAATTCTAATGTGTTTATTCTCTGTGTCTTTGTCCAGTATTCTCTATGTAATGAGCCACTGATTGAGCTGACAAATCCAGGAGCGAGTGGCTCCATATTCTACGTAACCCGCGATGATGAGTTCATCATCAAAACTGTCATGCACAAGGAAGCTGAGTTTCTACAGAAATTGCTCCCTGGATACTACATGGTAAGAAAAACTAAGCATCTCGTTCATTAAAACCCTTTCCATTATATTGCGGCTAATGTGTACTAATTTTAAACACAGCCAATATTGCCATTCTGCGCCTGTGAGGATTCAGAAAATGAAACCTTGCTGTAGGCTTTGTAATATTTTATAGGTGAAGTTTTGGGTGTGTGGGCGTGAGGTGTTTACAGGAGCACATGCCTAGGAGCAAAGCAGCAGCTGAAACTTCTAGTCATCTTTATCCTCTTTATCTAACCCCCTGTGGTTGGCCCCAGTCAGCGGTGACGTAAACAGGCGGCTTTGTGATAGGAAGAGCAGAGACCCATGCTAAGTAGTCCTTAACAGGTTAAGTGTTCACACAGCAGAGACACACAGGTGTGGGCTGAGGCCTGTGGATGGGTCACGCTGTCTGCCAGGTGCAAGCAACTGGGGGAGGAACACATGGACCGCATGCCGGGTTAACCTCTAATGCACTGTATTCTCTCCTCCTCTAATTTTTCCCACCTCCAGAACTTGAACCAGAACCCCCGGACTTTGCTGCCCAAGTTCTTTGGCCTTTATTGTGTCCAGTGTGGCGGCAAGAACATCAGAGTTGTTGTGATGAACAATATTTTACCGCGCTCCGTACGCATGCACCTGAAGTTCGACTTGAAGGGCTCCACATACAAGAGACGAGCATCCAAGAAGGAAAGGGAGAAGTCCAAGCCCACTTTTAAAGACCTGGACTTTCTGAGTGATGTTCCCGAAGGCCTCACTCTGGACCAGGACACGTTCAGCGCTCTGGTCAAAACGCTGCAAAGAGACTGTCTGGTGAGAGAGACAACAGCGAGGATGTGGATGACCTGTTATTTGTAGGAGAAGAATAACACTGCATTTAATTTTATTTTAATGAAGCCGACCACTTGCACGGTATCTGCTCAGCAGCACACTCATAAATACACAGGAGGCAAATTAAGGCACAATTAAAAGAAATAAAGAAGAAGAGGGGAAGGGAGAGAAAGGGAATTAGAAGTTGTTTATGCTAATTTTCTCCCTGCTCTAGGCTATGAAAAGAAATGCACACATATAAAATTCAAATAATCCTGTAAGCTTTGGAAATGCTTTGAAACATTGTGTGTGTTTCACGCCAGGTTCTGGAGAGTTTTAAGATTATGGACTACAGTTTGCTGCTCGGGGTTCACAACAAGACCCAAGCGGAGCGAGAGCAGCAGTCGCAGGGCTCGCCTGCAGGGGGTGGGGATGAAAAGAAGCCTGCGGGGCAGAGAGCCTTGTACACCACCGCCATGGAGTCCATCCAGGGAGGCTCCACATGCAGGGACACACTGGACCACGATGACACGTGAGTCACCGTTTCATCATGTTTGCCCTTTTTAATCACATCAAATCCACACAAGACATCACTTTTCTTCTCTTTCTAGGATGGGTGGTATTCCAGCTGTGGGAAGTAAAGGAGAGCGCCTCCTGTTGTTTATTGGAATTATTGACATCCTGCAGTCCTACAGGTACGTGGTCAATCCACGTGGTGCGTTTCAAACAGTGTTCACACGGCAAGGAGAAACAAAAAACAAGGCAGGAGCAGAATTTGCACCATTTGTCTTTTATAAGCGTAAGGATTTGTGGGAAATGTGGTTTTAAGACTAAAACCATTAGTGCCAGTCTGAATGGCAACAGTTTTCTTGACAAGGGTCTCATAATATCATGGTAATAAATGCAACGTGTCACAGTTAATTTTATGATAAATCAGTGTTTAAACTGTGCTTCATGACACCTCTACTGCCTTTTCAGTCTGACTCTCTTTGGACACATAAAATGACAACAATCTATTTTCTCTCTGGCTTCAAAGTCAAGATGTATTTAGGCTGGGGTTAAACAGTAACCCTGGCATAATGCGTCTACAAGGAATATTAAAAGACTAAGACGTGTGATAGGCCTAAACATGAAATCCAGTCTGTTGCAATCAGGATTGTAGCCACTGATTTAGTATTGAGTTGCCAGGTAACCACAGCAAGCCTCTGAATGAATAAATAATTTAATTGTCTTGTCTGACAGACTGATTAAGAAACTGGAGCACTCTTGGAAATCTCTCATCCATGACGGGGTGAGTATCTTTCATATAGCTGTTATCCAATAGTCTGAATCAGAGAAAAACAAACCGTGTCAATTTTTTCAATGTAATTTATCTAATTGGCAAAAAGGTTTTAACATTTAGAAAAAGTGAAACATAATTAAAACAATCTTGATTCTGTCTCTTTGTTTCATTGCTGCCTTCATTCCGTCACAGGACACAGTTTCAGTCCACAGACCTGGCTTCTATGCTGAGAGGTTCTACAAATTCTGCAGCACAATTGTCTTCAGGAAAAGCTGCTGTGAGTTCACACGTGTCCGTAAACTTCATGCAAAGAAATGACAACAAACATTTTTATCCAACTTGCCGGGAATAAGTCTACCCTGTCCTGGTTTCACAGCTTTGCGATCGTCTCCATCTAAGAGAGGGCGAGGGGTGCTCTTGTCCAAGTCCAGCGCTGGAGCCAGTTCAGCTGGGCATCGTCCTTCACTGACTGACGATCGGCAGGAAAACTTGGACAACTTGGAGAACCTGAGAGGAGCTCGCAGCTTCCCCATGCTGGAGGATAATGGTACGACTTCTTCTGCACTTTATTCGTCTGTAGTGATACACAATCATGATATAAAATCTGCTGATAAGACCAGTAAAACGTTGCCCACAGTGTGCATAAAGGGTTTTCTTATTTCATGTCACCTGAACCCGGCGGTATAGAGTTGTTTGGCCATGCAGCATTCATCAGTGTTTATCCAGGCTAGCTGCCCTCTGGTTAAGGCTGGTGTGGAAACGTCCACGGACGTGCTAATGTTACTTGAATGAAATTGTAGAAGCTTAAGACTGAAGTTGAAGGCGTTGATTTTGTTTCCCTGTTACTTGGTGCCTCTCTGAACTTGGCACACTGTTAGCCTCAATTGTCTGCTGCGCCTGAGTGCTCTCTTTAAAGTGAACCTTTATTGATCCCTGTGGAGGAATGGAAATGAAGCGGCAGCGTAGCAGCAATAAAAACAGAAACAAAGTAAAAGATAGACTAATAAATCAAGACTAGATATGCATAAAGGCTTCAGAAAAGTGATACCGTAAATGACAATAGAGATAAAGAGGTAGCTGGCATCCTAAAAATAGTTTCCGAGTACAAAGGTTAACAGCAGAGTCCAGACATGTAATATTTATTGTCTGTATTCATACTCACTAATGGGGGTAGGCGAATTAATAGAATGTAAATTAGAAAGAATAAGATGCATAGAGTTCAGACAGAACAGCTGTGCGGTGTTGTGCACTTTGATGGCTGTTGAAATCAGGAGAGGTTTATGTTAAAGCAGTTATGTTTGGTTAATTATTATTATTCACATGTTTTTTTTTCATCTCTCTTGCACATGGCTCCTGATCTCTTACTTAATTTTGCCTCACAGGGAGAGAGCCTCCCTGCACTCCTCCTTCATTTGAAGACGCTACCACAGCATCTATTGCTACCACTCTGTCGTCTAACAACTCACTACCGACCACCCCATTCGATACGCCGGAGCACCCGCGCTACAGGAGACAAATGCATTCCCCAAACATGGCCAGGTGACAATAACTGTATTTCTCTATATATACACAACAATATATTTGACCTCTGACAATGTTCTACTGCTTTCATGCATGCTCTGCTTTTCACACCTTGTGTTTTCTCGTGTACTTTCAGGTCGCAAAAAGAGGTAGTTGAGATTCACGGTGAAAGACAGGACACCATAACAGTGGAGGTGGAGCTCAGGTACAGGATGAAAATATGACTATAATGTCCGCATCTGTCTTTGTCGTATTTTAACGGTGTTCTTTGTCTTTCTTCGTACAGTAAAATCCCAAAGAGCACAGAGCTCACGCAGATGACAGAAAAAGCCTCCCCCAGCCATCTATCACCTGAGCGTCCGCCTCGAGGCATCGTTTCATCCACTCCGTCCTCTATCAGTCCATCCTCTGCTCAATCCTCAGCTACCCTTCCTCCTTCCTTTGTGTCCTCCTCCGCCGCTGCTCAGCCTGCCGGCCAGTCATCCTCCACACTTTCTTCATCCATCCGTCCATCCACCAAACCGCTCATCTCACCGACAGCAGCTCAGTCGTCCGCTCTTTCTTCTCCGGTCTCTCATCCAGCTTCGCCATCCACACGTCCCACCTCGACCCCAAACATCTCCAACCTCCCTCCCGCCTCTGCATTTACTCCTATCTGCCCGGCATCTCCTCGCTCCTCCACCCAGACCTCCTCTCACCACCTCCCCTCAACGCCGCCTTCCTCCATCCCTCCCAGCCCTCAGGTGCCTCAGCAGGCGCCGCATATGTCGTGCAATCAGCTGTCTGTGTCCAGCAGCCACAACTCATTGGACGGGGAGGTGCAGGTTTCCGACATATACTTTGTAAGTTTCTATTATCCTGCTTCAGCGTTTTGTTTTGTTTTTATCCCTGTGAAAATGTTTAAAGTGAGATAATAAACCAGGAAGTAAACCAAACCAAAATGAGATGAAAGGTGAATCATACCACTGAATTTATGAATAACTCAATTTCCAGGGAGTAAAGATCGTTTTCCTTCTGTTTTGCCTCGGTCTACTGGGTCTTTCGCAGTGGCCCAGTCAGGACAGCGTGGTAGAGTTATGATGGTGAGGGGGGTGCCGTGTGTGTTGCAGTGTGCACGTATTATGGGAGTTGCTCTCGCTGTGCAAAATGCTTTTTTTCTGCAGCATGAGGCTGCCACCAGCCGTAATTCATGCTTTTGAATGTATCAGCAAAACACAGGTTTTCTTTCCTGCACAGCATGATTTATATCTGTCGATCTGCAGTCACACATCCTGTCAATGTCACTCACAGCTCTCCACGACTTTGTCTTTTGTGGGAATTTCTGTTTCATTATTACATTCACTTTCTTTCCGTTTGCTCCTCTGTCATAACTGCTTCTATCATCTCACATTATCTCATGTATATCTCCATTTTTTTGTATATTAATTCACTCAAATCCCTTTCTTTTCATGTTTACACATCATGTACACTTGTGTGTTCATCTGTGTGTGCGTGTGCCCATCCATCCATCAGTACGCAGACGGCAGATATTGGGTGTACTCTCCAGTTCTTGGCCGTCGTAAGCTAAACTCTAGCTCAAGTTACAATGTAAGTCACCACCAAGGTAGATAGAGTCATTTGTAACTCTAGGAGATTTTTCTACATGTATTGCATTGCTGGTAACCGCTCCATTGGGGACTATCACGGGCGTAGCTGCTTATGGATCTTCAGAAGTGTTTAAAAACAAAGCTGCAGCGCAATTCATGACTTATTTAGTGCTGATTTCAGCAAAAAAAAAAAAGATACTACATATGAAAACTGCTGCTTCTGAAGTTCCACTGTTTGCATTTAAATGGTGCATGCACTCTTATCTGAAATGTTGCTCGTAGACAGTAGTCTAAATTATTTGGATGTTGAATCTGCAGTCAGTTAACATCATCTTGTACTGGCTTTGTAACTGTAGTGATCCCTGATGTGTCTGCCCTGCAGCAGTCAGATAACACAGGAGCTGATGAGCTGATTAAAGTTGCCGATGCCTCCCTTGAATGAGATCTCACTTTCCGATGCTGGAGATTGTGTTTTCATTAAAGCTGCACTTGAAACATTTTAAAGCTCTTGAAAATCTGGTTTCATGCATTAAATAGACAAAAAGCGTGAAATATTGATAACTAAATAAGCAGCAATGAAATTAGCTGTGGAGATCTCTGCAGCATGAAAGGAAATGAAATAGACTTTGACTGATCAGTATGCATAAATACATGACATCACCTTTAGAGCTGTAAACATGCAAAAATGCACAGTGCAGCTTTAAAATAGTCCTTCAGTTTCTTCCTAGTCAGTCTTTAATTCCTCTCCTCTCTTGTTGTTTCTTCTTCTGCTGCCCTCTGCTGGCTGTACGTGACAACAGCAGACTCAGGAGGATCGGAGCTGGGTGTACTCTCCTCTGCACTGCAGCTCAGAGTCCAGAAGGGGCTCAGACGGGGAGAGTGAGACAGTAGGTTCACAGTTCATTCATGATTTGAAGTTAATTCACGGAACAAAGATGAGGAAACATTTTTGTTTGCTATTGTCCTGTTAGTGTCTCTAATATTTATCTTCTGTTTCTGTTGTTCTTCAGTAACTGCAGAGAAGAATGGAGCCAGAGGCTGTCTGCATATACAGAAGTTGACAGGTTTTAATGATAAAGCCACCAGGACACTATGAGGATCTGGTTGCCCATGCTGCATGTCGGAGCTTGCTTTGCAAACTGCAAAAAGCGCTAAAGGAGTGAACTTTGGGAAGAAGCATTCAAGTATAAAAGAGTTCAACAATGCATTTATACATCTCCATTGAAATGAACGTACCCACATGATATGAAGCTGTAGTACGAAACAATTACAAAGCATCGGTTCCTGGACAATCTGACTGACATCAGGTGGAAAAGCTAAAATGCTACAATCAGCTGAGTGGCACTGTGAATCTTTTCGGCGTTTGTTCATAGCGAGCCTGGCCTGCCGATGGCGTCATCAGTACAAACTATTACCTCACATACAAACCTTGATCAAATCCACACAACTGTTAACAAAACAACGTGTGAAATTCTAGTGCAGATTCTAAAGTTTCCAAACATAGGAAACGTCCATCCATTCATTGTTCTGCCACTTTCTTCCAGAGTCGGGCAGCAGGCTAAGCAAGGTAGTCCAGACATTCCTCTCCCCTGCTCAGGCTATGCAATTTGGAATATAAGTTTCTGATTTCTTTTTATTTATTTATTTATTTATTTATTTTTGACTCAACAAGACTAAACTACTTCAGACGTTCTTCACATATTTATTTTCTACTAGGGGAATGTCGGAGCTGTGTACAATTTTATTTTAGCACTTTATAAATGTACATGTGGCTGAGGTCTTTTGAAATCGTGTATGTTTTGTCATTTTGTCATCGGTCGTTGGTTGAAAACACACTCGAACACAGTTAATGTTTTGTGTGCTGTGTATTCACAGTGGTCTGTTTCTTCCAGTGGTGTGTGGTGGTCCACTTAACAATTTTTGATCTGACAATGAATGCTTGTGTTCAAATTGCCTTACTGACGAACTCATTATCGTAACCATTTTTGATATTTTCTGGTCACATGTAATCATTGAGCAAAAAAAAAAAAAAAAGAGAACAAACAAAAAAAAAATATGTAGAAATACAAACATGCAAAATATTTTATTGTAAGTAAATACCAAATATCTGGAGCAGAGTTAAAACAGTATATATAGCAGTCATGCATTTACAACTTTTCAGGATTTAGGATGAAAAGATTAAGAAAGAGTATTGGAAAAAATGAGTCAAATTATCTTTTGTAACTTGTCGATTAACTGTGTATGTGCTTAAGCACATGCATATAAGGCTGTGCGTGCACTTATGTCTCTGTGTGTGCATGTGTTTGCATGCATATGATGTGTGATTGGGTGACATAAGTTTTTCTGTCCTGCCTATATGTCAAATTGTCAAAAGGTGTCGTTGTTATAGGCCATGAAAGTTTGAACCAGCTATAAGCATGTTGGCTGTGTGAGAAAAAAAGGAAATGCAGATGCCCCCGTCTTTAACGACACTGGATTCATCCTAAAATACCAAAATGGAGCAAAGACAGCTAAAGTGAAATATCGTCAGTTTTCTATATGATTTACTAATAAAAGACAGACAGTAACTTCCTTCTTCTGTATATGGTGATAGAAGATTCATCATACTTCCTGTGTCCAAAAACGCCACTGTACCATATTACTGTATTGTTTGAGTCTGCTGAAGTTAACCTGCCTGTTTGTAGGCAACAGTGTTTGTAGCTGATCACTGTGTAAAAGATAATAAAAATTATATTGTGTAAAAAATAATGGGAATTTTGATTTCTAAAAAAATTACAGGGCTGCAAAGTGGCTCGGTGGTTAGCACTGTCACCTCGCAGCTATCAGGTCGCTGGTTCGCATCCCGGTGAGGACACCCGGGATCTTTCTGCGTGGAGTTTGCATGTTCTCCCCGTGAAGCGTGGGTTCTCTCTGGGTTCTCCGGCTTCCTCCCACACAGTCCAAAAACATACTGAGGTTAAGTGGTGATTTTAAATTGTCCGTAGGTGTGAATGTGAGTGTGCTTGATTGTCTGTCTCTAAGTGTAGCCCTGTGATAGACTGATGACCTGTCCAGGGTGTCAGCTGGGATAGGCTCCAGCCCCTAGTGAGGATTAAGCAGTGTATAGATAATGGATGGATGGAAATAACTACATTCACGAAGCAGATGCTGAGAAGTTGTTGAAATGAGTCCACTAGATGGCACCACAACGTCTCAGAAAACATTCAATTCTCAGTCCTGCCATATCTTGATTGAAATCCCACCCAGGTTATTTAAAAATGTGCCCTTCTTAGTTGCATTGTAAAATTTAATTGCACAAAGACACATGCCAGAATCTGAGCTGCCTATATGTCATGATTTATTTTATTGTATTCCTGATAGACCGTTAAAGACCAGCTAGTATTTCAAGCCTCATGCCTCAGCCCTCCCCATCACACTGACATTTTAATGCACACAAACATAATGATGTGAAATCTTGATTACCTTACTGGGGATTGCAGTATAAAAAAAAAGAAAAATCAGCACACGCTTTAGTGCTAAAAATAGGATGGCATACGAAAGGGACAAGGTCCAAAAAGGCAAACATCTTACTGTGATCTCTGCTTACATTCTGCAGTAATACAGACTCACTTAATTTTGATAAATACACAGCAAATGTTCAAATATGTTTGAACACGTGTGCGAGGGTGCACGTGTTGCTGTGTGCATGTGTGGGGTTTATGTGTAAACCGGAGTTGTGAAGATCACTCAGGGTGACAAGTCAGCCATGTCGGGCCATGATGGAATGTGTGATGGACAAGGATCAATAGCCAGCTTCCCAATTGTCCTACAATGAAATTGTCCCTCACCTTGCTTTTCCACTTTCTTTCTGTCCTTCTGCCTCTGAATTCACACACACACACACGCACACACACTATCCCTTACACACACACACACACACACACACACACACACACACACACATAATCCCTTTGCTCTTTCTCCAGCCAGATCAGTGCTTTCTCCCTGGTTTATTGCCAACATGGTATTCTTTCATCATTCTTTCGGATAAGGCTGGTGATATTTGAAAAGTGCCATCTTTAAGTCTGTGTAGTCAAAGTTTGACAAAAAGTATGTTATAAAGTATGTATAACTGTTGTCCTTAAACTGTTAAAACACCAATGAGTCACACAGTTGCACTGGCTGATATGTTACTCCACTACGATGAACACTGGTTTGCATTGATGCCACACATACGCTGTCCTGCTGCCATAAATGCTCACTAGATCACCAAATCTGTATCAATCCGCAGCTGAAAATAGTCCCCATGAAATGCACCATTTACCTCACTTTGAGTGATGTTTGCTAAATTCTACATCTCGTCCTTTTTAAACCAAATGTGTGCATTCTTTTAAAAAATGGGCATGAGGCTGAGAGCTACAGTGAAATTTATACCCACCCTTATTCTTCAAGGACTTGGAAATAAAGGTGTCACAGTTTCACTTTGCATGTTCTCCTGGCACCCACAGCTCTGGTTGTCTTCCACAGCCCAGTTGCATGTGTGTCAGATGGACGGGAGACTGTATGAATATCTTTCTTTGTCTGTCTACTTCTGCTCCTCAGCAGCCCCCTGCTTTCACGCAGGCTTGGGTAGGCATCAGTGAGCTGCGAATAGGAATAATATCATCATGATTATCATAAAAGCACACTCAAAACAGCTTAACATAAAGGATTTAAACAGCTAGAATAAATGACTGTGAATGCGGAGTAATAAACTTGCCATTTTTGAAAATAATTTTTCAAGAAAAATTGTGCAGGTAGCATCTGTACCTGGGGTGAGTGGGCCATCGCTGAGCCGAGCTTTCATCTGCAGGACACATAGACAAATGCTTTTGTTCTTTCAAAGGAGAGAGGGGCGAAAGCCACAACAAACAGGGTGTGTGTGCAGCATGTGTGTGTGTGTGTGCGTGCGTGTGTGTGTGAGTGCACGTGGAAGGAAGCGAAAGGGAAGAGGACGGAGAGAGAGAAAGCAGAGAGAGATCAAAGCAGGGGGTATGTTTTTGAATGTCTGTGTGGGAGGTGAAGCCTCACCTACCCAGAATGCCTTGCCTCACTCCTTCCAGCCCACTCAGGTTTTTAGGAGCATCACTTTTTCTTTGCAGCCAGCAATATTATGATACTACCTCTTCATCAGTCATCTCTAGATATTCTCAGAGAGTTCTTGAAATGGGGACTTGATCTCACTCTCAATCTCTGATCTGTGATGCATAAGCCGCATCTCCCACACACAGTTCAACATGTGATAGTTCTGACAATACACTGCGCCGAACAAAAAGTAGACAAAATGTCAACACAGCTTCGGTTGAATCTCCCCGTTGAAGGTTCCTACTGATCTGGATCAGAGCCCCCTTCCCCCCTTTTTTTCCCCTAGTCTCACGAAGGGATCGAAGCATCTCCTTTTAACTCGTCGTGAGAAGCTGCAAACAGATGTCTGTCTGTCCACACAGAGGGAATGTCGTGCCCCCTCACGCGCAGATGAAAAGCCGTGAAAGTCTCTCTGTTGAGTTGTCAGTGTCTTAAGGCAGTGTTTATCTTTGGCAGGCTGAAGAAAACAAAGCCATCGATTTCTAATCCTAATCCCCTTCTACTGCTTCTCTCCTATTGATCATCTATCCATCCTTAATGAGATGGAGGGATAGAGGGATGGAGGGCTGGTGAAGGACAAAACTTTCCCTGACGGTTGTGCTGCCGCCTTTTCGCCTCGACCCATCTCTTTTCAATCTGTCTCTCTCGCTCGCTCGTGGGGCTTTCGCTAAGTTGGTGTTCTTTATGGTGGAATAGCAAATAAATGCTGCCTGGCACTTTCGTGGAGGTTTGTCAATCCTGGAGGCTCACAGAGCTGTCAAGGTTTGCCTATATGCTGAAATTG